TAGAACTTAGAAACTTTTTCTTCCTCTTTAACATATATATTCATGAAAGTTAGCAGTGATTAGATAAGTTTAAGGCTTGTTACGAAGAAAGATGAAAACATTTACTAATATTTGTGTTCTATATAAATTCACAATAAGAATAAAACCATTTCCACGAACATGGCTTATATTATAAAAAAAATGTACAAGAATCAACATCATTAAAATGTCCACACTACCCAAAGCAATCTATAAATTCAACGCAATCCCCATTAAAATACTTCAAAGACCTAGAACAAACTCTCCAAAAATTCACCTGGAATAATAAAAAAAAAAAGGCCCCAAATAGCTGCAGCAATCTTGAGAAAGAAGAACAATGCAGGAGGAATCACAATACCAGATGTCAAAGTATATGACCAAGCCACGGTTCTCAAAACTGCCTGCTACTGGCACCAGAACAGACATATAGACAAGTGGGACAGAACAGAGAGCCCAGAAATTGGCACAAGCCAGTATGCTCAATTAATATTTGACAAAAGCGGCAAGAGCACACAATGGAGATAAGACAGTCTCTTCAATAAACAGTGTTAGGAAAACTGCACAGATACTTGCAAAAAAAATGAAACTAGATCACCAACTTATACCATACACAGAAATAAACTCAAAATGGATAAAGGACTTAAATGTAAGATGGGAAAAACCATAAACATCTTAGAAGAAGCCATAGGCAGCAAAATAGCAGACATTTGTCATAGCAGTATCTTTACTGATAATGCTCCTAGAGCAATGGAAAGTAAGGAGAAAATAAACAAATGGGACTACATCAAAATAAAAAAGCTTCTGCACAGCAAAAAAACACCCATCAACAAAACAACAAGAAAGCCCACTGCATGGGAGAACATATTTGCTAATGTTATCTCTGATAAGGGTTTAATCTCCAAAATTTACAGGGAACTCATACAACTTAACACAAGGAATATAAGGAGAAAACAAGATGGTGGTATAGGTAAACACTGGAAATTGCTGCCTGGCACAACCACTTCAAAAATACAAATAAAAGACAAAACCGACATCATCCAGAACCACAGGAAGGCTGGCCAAGCGGAAATTCTACAACTAGAAAGAAAGAAAAAACCATACTGAGACTCAGAGGAGGTGCGGAAGTAAAGAGTAGAGGTACAGAGGCGCCCAGAAGGGCTGACAACTGAGGACGTGGAGGAAATTCAATTGGAAGGGAGTCTCCAGCTCCCAACGGCCCTGGACTCCAGTTCCGGTGAGTCTCTGGGAACCCAGACTCATATGGGGAGAAACTGCACAGTCTGGCATCGGGCAGAACTTGAGGGCGGCTTTCTCTCAGAGGTGCCTGCAGCGATTACTGGGACACTGAGACCCGTGGCCTCAAAGGGCAGGGCTGAGGATCAGCCATAAGTGTTTGCTGCACCCTGTTGATTCCCTGAGACCCCGCCCCACCCAAGCTGCCACACACAGAGGCTTTTGCATATGAATGCACTGGCCCTTTGCAATCTAAAATTACATAACTAACAATAAAATGAAATTATAAAAAATGTACATAAAAAGCCAGAAAGAACAAAAAGCATGTTCTGAAAATCATTTTAACTTTTCATTAGCAAATAATTTCAAACATACAGAAAAGTTGTAACTATGAGTAGTAAGAAAATAACCCACATACCTTTTACCCAGATTCACTTATTAACATTATTCCCCATTTGCTTTGTTATTTTCTCTTTTTGCCTCTCCCATTTGCGAGCAAGTTACATAAATCATGGTCTTTTACCCCTAAACTCTTCAGTGTGTATTTCCTAAGGATCATGATTATCTCTTATGTAACCCCAGTACAGTTAGCAACTTCAATACATTTAACATTGATATCATACTTTTTATCTATTTGACTGTCTGGATTTCACATTTGTGAATTAAGGCAAAAATGTTTTTTATAGCATTTTTTCCTCCTCCGGCACAGACACCTAACCTAATACTGCATTTAGTTGTCTGATCTTTTTAGCTTCCTTTAATCTGGAATATTCCCACAGCTTTCCGTTGCCTTTTATAACATTGGCATGTTTAAAAAATAGTCTTCCCTCCTTTTAATACAACATTCCTTACCTCGGTGATGCTGTGTCTTTCACGGGAAGCTCATCTGGACGCACAAGCTCTCCATCTGCCTCTCACTGGTGGTATTAATCCGGATCATTTGGTCAAGGTGTTCTTCATTCCCCACTGTATCATCACTTCTCCAATAGATCTAAGGTTCCCATAACCCCCTCCTCAGGTTTGATTAATTTGCTACAAGCTACTTAGCTTAAAGAACTTAGGAAATCAGTTTTCTTACTAGATTCCCAGCGTATTACAAAGGATATGAATGGGATCTGAAGGAACGGACAGATGAAGAGGCACACAGAGCAAAGTCCGGAAGAGTCCGGAGCACAGGAGCATCTGTCCCCTTGAAGTTTGGGGTGCACCACCCTCCCGGCATTTTTATCCTGCAAACCAGAAACTCTCCAAACCCCATTCTATCAGGGGTTTTATGGAGTCGTCATTACATTGACATT